GCCGGCCCCTGCCCATTTTTTAATCAGATTGTTTGTTTGTTTGCTATTGAGTTATGTGAGTTCTTTATATATTTTGGATATTAGCCTCTTATCAGATATGTGCCACACAGTGATGTTTCAGTCAACAATGGACAAAACTGCATATACGACGGTGGTCCCATAAGATAGCCTAGGTGTGTAGGAGGCTGTAGTATCCAGGTTTGTGTGAGTATACTCTGTGATGTTCACACAATGAGGCATTGCCTAATGACGCATTTCTCAAACATATCAAACGTATCCTCATCATTAAGCGACACATGACTGTATATGATTTGCAGTTATTTTCTCCCATTCAGTACGTTGCCTTTTCATGTTGTAGATGGTTTCCTTTGATGTGCAGAAGTTTTTAGTTTGGTGTAGTCCCACTTGTTTATTTTTGCTTTTAATGCTTTTGCTTTTAGTGTCAGATTCAAAAACCATCACCAAGACCGATGTCAAGCTAAGTTTTCTTCTAGAAGTTTTATGGTTCCAGGTCTTAATGTTCAATCCATTTTGAATTAATTTTTGTGTGTGGTATAAGATAGTAGTCCAGTTTCCGTCTTTTGCAAGTGGCTCTCCAGTTTTCCCAACACCATTTATTGAAGAGACTGTCCTTTCCCCATTGTATATTCTTGGCTTCTTTGTAATAGATTAATTGACCATATATGCATGGGTTTGTTTCTGGGCTCTCTGTTTTGTTCCATTGACCTATGTGTCTGTTTTTTATGCCAGTACCATGCTGTTTTGATTATTATAGCTTTGTAAATACACGTTAAATTCAGGGAGTGTGATGCTTCCAGCTTTGTTCTTCTTACTCAGGGTTGCTTTGGCTATTCAGGGTCTTCTATGGGTCCATACATATTTTAGGATTATTCTATTTCTGTAGAAATCAGTCATTTATACATACATATTTTTTGTCCAGGATGGTCTTTGTTTTTAGTTTTATCTTCCTTAGATTTTTCAACAACAGGTTATAGTTCACATTACTACTATGAGGATTTTTTTTTTATTTGGGGAGAGAGAGAGAGAAAGAGTGTGTGTTTGTGTGTGTGTGTGTGTGTGTGTGTGTGTGTGAGAGAGAGAGAGAGAGAATATTTTTAGCCAGAGGAAAGTTTGAGTCATTCCGAAGAAATCTGCATGACAACCTGAAAAACAATATGCTAAATACTTTTTAATTTAAAAAGAATCTGTTTTCTTTTGGGGAAAAATAAAAGTATAAAGAGTGCCTTAAGCTTATTTATTTCTCATGCTGCAGTTTTCTGATCCTGAGGTGCTTGTGAAAACTTGGGCTGTCTAGGAAAGTATGTGAGTGCTTCTTGACCATGGAATGAGAACTAGTTCTATTTTAGTTAATAACAGGGAAAACTTACTTCAGAAGAATGAGAACATTTTGACACCTTCAGGAATTTAAAAATACATTTCAAAAAGGGTTCTGAGTTACTTTCAGTATTCTTTTGAAAGTGCCCCAATTTTCATAATTATAAGTCAGTAGATCTAGACTTTCCCCTTGTTGCCTTTATAGATCTATCATTATAGGGAACCAAATATAACAGAAGTGTTCCTGGACTTTAACTATGAGAAAACTTGTTTCGTTTGTTTAAGAAATAAAAAACAAAAAACTACTCCTAGTGGCTTTGTTTTGTTAAAGTTTTGATAGTGGCATTTTAGTTGGTCAGAGCATGTCACATGGGCTGGCTACATCGGACAGGACTCCTCTGTGTGTTTCTAACCTTCTAACATCTGCATTGCTTTCTCCCCACCTTCTGCAGTATGATGTGAGATCGTGAACATGGACTTTTCTCGGCTCCACATGTACACTCCTCCTCAGTGTGTGCCCGAGAACACTGGCTACACGTATGCACTCAGGTGAGCGTGCGTGCGCGCGTGTGCTGTCCTCGTGATGACCTCTTCACTGCTCGAGAGCCACTGAGTTAGTGGGAGCTTTATGGTACTTGCAACCAAATGCTCTATTTTGAGAGTGAAGATGTCTATAAACTTTATTTTAGACTATGGCTTTGTGAAACTGCTAAACTGACATGGAAACAGTGAGGTTGTTCTGATGACTCAGTGATTAGTCACTGCAAATGAACTGCTGTTTTAGACTCCACCCAATAGCTGTGGTCTCAAGAGTAAATCTTTGTGGTTATTGTTAGGGTTTTGTGATTTATATTAAAGGATGAGTATCTTAAGTTAACAGAAATATCCTGGAAAATGATTGCCTTTGAGCGGAGGCAGCATAAACAGTTTTGGGGAGGCTCAAGGTTTCAAGAGCAGAACTTTTGTCAGATGCTAAGTTTTCTCTGTTTTTTTTTTGGCGAGGAAGATCAGCCTGAGCTAACATCTGTTGCCAATCTTCCTCTTTTTGCTGAGGAAGATTAGCCCTGAGCTAACATCTGTGCCCAGCTTCCTGTATTCTGTATATGGGATGCCACCACAGCATGGCTTGACAAGTGGTGCGCAGGTCCGCGCCCAGGATCTGAACCTGTGAACCCCGGGCCACTGAAGTGGAGCCCACAAACCGAACCACCATGCCACCAGGCTGGCCCCCAGAGTTTTCTCTTTATTCATATTCTAATATGATACCGAAGCTTGAAGTTCAAGT